TTAACGAAATTTTTTATCATAACTTTAGTTTTTACTATTCAACTAACCTGGAATTGAATAATACATATCCTCAAATGTAGCTTGATTATCACCAGTCCAATGTGCAGTAAATTGACCAGAACCAGCGAATGTTGAACGAGATAAAATAAATGGTCGTTTTTTACGAATACTCTTCAATGCTCTACGAAATAATTATGTATTTTGTTCATAGCTTAATATTATATATAAAAAAATCTTTACTGATTAGTTGCTTTTGCTTCAAAATAACCATACATATTATGTAAATTATAATGTGATGATAAGTAATGCTGAGCAGATGGACATAGTGTTTTCGCACTAAGAGCACCACCATGTACATCTACAAGTATATCTTTATGATTTTTTTTAGAAACAAAATTAAATACATACGAGGAACAAATGGTGGATTATCCAATGTATTATCAGTACATCCATCAGTTGATCCATCTATAAAACTAGATGGTTCATTCATATCCTATATAGTAAAATGTAGTTGAGAACAATTAGACGATAAGTATTGACAATAATTCTTACAATCCACATTCCATCAAATGGAACTACTTCATGAAAAGCTTCAGCTACATTCGTCCACCATTCTACTGTATCTGGATTTGTAAAATCTGGAAATGCCGTTGTTCCAGGCCAAACCTTTCGAAAGTGTAAAATTGATAATCAATATCAACAATGCAAGTTTAATTATTACTTTTCCTGTGATAAATTCAGTTGAATTAAATTTTCTCATAAATATACCTCGTTTAACTCCATCATCATATGCAAAATAGGAACCAGCTGGTTGAGTTGAACTGATACCCGGATCGATAATATTAACGTAATGTATACCATCAGCTTGTAATGCACGAACAAGTTCGGGTAGATCATGAAAATTTTTACCATCATAGGTATAGTCAAGTAAGGATGACATTGCATCAATATCTGTCCATTGAACATCGAATGGAAAATCAGCTTTTTGCATTCTCTGAAGAAAAAAATTTAACAATGTAAAGTTTTAATTTTTCTAAAAATAATTTACTTCAAGGGATGATATTATGTTTTCAATCTTATTATATCCCCAACGGCAAAGATGAAATCCAAGTGACCAATATGGTGGCATCATAGGTTTCTAAAACAACCAGATAGACATAATATCATAAATTGTTATTTTTCTCTTACACCAATAATATTCCAATATTGTTCAATAACATTTTGTACAGTAGGTCCTGTGAAAATATACAAATCAATAATACCACCAACAGTTGTATAAGTTAGAGCAGGTAACGGTTGAAGATCAATATCCATTGCATTTGAATTAAGAAAAAATTGTCCATGAACATTTGTTTGATTATCAGATGCTGGTTCAAGATTGATATGAAACGGATGAACACCTAAAAGAATGTTCTATCGTAAATCATACGAGATAAGAAACAAAATCGATTCTAAACCATAAAGGTTGATATATTGCATTGGTGGAAAATCTCGTGTATAAAATGTTAATCTTTTCCATTCATGCGTTACATTGATTAATAATGGTTGTTGATGTTCACCAAGACCATACAACAATGGACTTGATAGTCGAGTAGAAAATTTGATAAATTGATCAGCAAAAATAAGTGATGATACACTTGAATCAAATCTGAGAAAAACAGATAAAAAAAGCAAACGAGAAATCAATATTTGTTTTTTATCAGATAAATTCCTGACGGTGCCGCAGCTTCTTTTATCTGCAGATTGTAAAATGACATAAATTTACATTCGATTTAAGTATCTGTAAGTCTAACAGTCAGAATAGTGATGAAGCTGATAAATTCCATCTGACTGTACTAATTTAGTACAGTGATAGAAGAGATTTTTGAAGATTTTCTCAAAGACCATCACGGCACCCAAGCAGACAAAATTTTGAGAAAACGCGTTTAAACGCGCAGAAATTGGCCTAAGACCGGTAAAAAGTGAACGTTTTTGGCTCACACTCGCGGTTCCCGACTGTGAACCCAAAACACCCATTTTTTGCCCTTTTTATGTGTTTAAACGCGTTTTCACACAAGAAACGCGTAGACACGCGTACAAAAAAGAGAAAAAAGCTGTCGTGTTTTTCCAGCTCGAAAAACGTGACTGTAATCATAATCATGCATCTCGAGTATGAGAAAACGACAACTTTTTCTCTTTTTCGTATGCGTGTACTTGCGTTTCTTGTGCGAAAACGCGTTTAAGCGCACAGAAAGGGCGAAAAAGGATGTTTTTGGCTTACAGTCGGGAATCGCGAGTGTAAGTCAAAAACATCCACTTTTTGCCGATTTTAGGCCAATTTCTGTGCGTTTAAACGTGTTTTCTCAAAAGTTTGTCTGCTTGGACAGCGACGCAGTAATCTTGTCTTTTCGAGGACTGTGGAAGGCTTTCAGATTAATCGCGTATGATTACCTGATGCTAATAGAGTCATAAAAAATATCACCAGTATTTTTTCATAGTACGTCAAAGTATTACTTTTTTTGTTGTAAGTAACAACTATTATCTATACCTGACGCTAAATATATTAGATTGCTCGTTGAGATAATATTTTCATTTTTATCTAAACTTACAAAATAGCACCAGTTGATTTTCGAGTAACCAGTATTGCAAATGGTTGTTCACTAAGTTTGACTTCATAATCAGTAATATTAGCTTTCTTTTCTACTACAGGTACTTGAAGTGGAACTTCATATCGTTGATCAGCTGAATCATAGATTCGAATACGAAATCGTTGTTCAGTTTCATAGATAAGATCAACTGTCAAATTAAGAATATCATGTGGCATATATGTTGTTTGTCTTTTGAGAATTCGAATTCGTTGACCAAAATCTGTTATTTCATTTGATGCTATTTTATAGTTTGGAAAATCTTTTGGATAATAACAAAATGGTACATCAACAAAGCCGAAACCAATCGACTGTTTCTGGGTATAGTTCGCTGGTTCAATTGGTAAACGCCAACAACAATTTCGTGCAAGACATTTTTCTTTAGTTGGATCTTTTTCTGGATAACAATCAAATCGAGCTACATTTGAAATGTGGTCACATTGTTGTGCATTCGAGGAGTATACGGAAAAAAGAATTGTAATACTTATTACAAAGGTTAAGTATTTCATTCTATCAAAGGCTAGGAATATCTACAATAAAAACAACATTATCTTTGTTCTATTAAAAAGTTTTTCAAAAAGATAAACATGTGAGGACGAATAAACAAACTGACTTAACCGTCATAGGAGCAGAAAGAGTACCCAAAGTCTATGCGAAAAATAAAAAAATCTTTAACCGATATCAGGGTATGTTTTCAAATAAATTCTTCACTTTGTAACTGACAATGTTTTCCAATATGACTTTTTCACAGTAAAAATGCAACAGATTTTCGTAAAAAGGACATAAAAAACTACCAATATCCACTTTTACATTTATTAGTTGTTTAGTTATGTTGGCAAAACGTCAGATTGAAATCCTTAATATCCCCGCGTAGCATCTAATAAGTTTATTAAATGAACAGCATCTGATTTGAGTTTATTTTTGAAGACATATCTCCTTCAAAATATTTAATGTTTCAAGTGAAATAGAAAACTCTTCAACAAGCCTTATTTTAATTCTGATATTATTGTCCACTGCTTTGAAAATTTCTATTGAGAAGACCATATTTTAATTAACTAAGGCGCAGAGATAGTTGTTTTCTAATTCAAACAAATACTACTCGGTTATTAACCGTTCAAAAAAAACAAATATTTATTGCATTCTTATTATAGATTCGGTTGATATTAATTATACGCGAAATAATGATTTGATGAAAAGAATATGTTGGAAAATTTTGTACCAAATTTCGAAATAAAATATTTAAAAAAAACCATAAAGAAAATCAATCAAAGATAAAAAAATAATTCAATCATATTTTGAAAGACATGGTTTAAGCACTAGAATAAAATGAAAGCACATACATAACAAAAATATTCAAAGAATGATTGCTATTTCTTTTTTGATTTCTATCACATATCATTAATTCGAAGTTGTCCATTGAATAGTTTGACTAGATTGAGCTAACATGTCCATATTGACACCATGAATAAGTAAAACCTATATTAATAGCATAAGGACATTTGAAAAATTTGTTTTTTTTTATCTTTTGTTAAATTTATTGAATTACATACTTGATCAAGAAAATCATAAAGATAATCAAAATAAGGTTTTCCATTTACAGTTACACTAGTCACAGACTTGCTTACTCCCAAAACTTTCACATTATCCAGACGCATTGTAGAACTTTTGTAGTTTGTAACGAGAGCATTGATTGTTAAAGTATTCTATAATTATCAGATAATGTACATTGTTTAGAAAAAGCTTATTGACTCAGTCTCTTTAGCTCGAAAATGTGGAACTTAAATTTGTTCTCCAGTCTAATGATATTAATAAAAAGTATGTAAAGTGAAAAGTCTCTCGAAGACTATAGTTGTCTGTTTAAACTAATCGATCGTCAGAGAAGCAATTCGTCTTATTTATTTCTGTATTTCGACCAGAAACTTTTTTCTATTTTTCGCTGTGCCTCTCTATTGTTTATTTGCATTGTTGCTATTTGCTCATTCTTATTTTATTATTCTAACCATTAATTTAACTGGCAAATAAGTCTATTGATTTCATTAAATTATAATTTGATCACAATAGAAAATTTTTATTTATGCAAAAATGAAAATTTGTACTACTTAGAACGTTCGCAAACATATGCCAGCCATTGAAGTTTGAAAGAAAATTTTAAAATGTTCTAGAACAGTTTTCGTTTTGTCGTTCATGCTGATCAGCGCCATTTTCTGTTGCTAAGGAGCTCTAAGAACAGAATTTGAAGTTTGTTGTCTTTGGTGACTAAGGTCTATAATATGGAAGAGGAAACCGAAAAATCGCAACTTAACAGTTACACTCATTTTTATCTTCGAAGATATTTGTGGTATATTAAGAAGAAAATGTAGACTTTAATATTAAAGCCTAACTATCAATTGCCATTAAATCTTTACTTACAGAATTTGTTAGCGTAAATTCAAAATAGTTGTATGTCTGTGTTTCAATTGAATCTAAATTGAAAAAAAGAAAATAAAAATGATGAATAGAGGAATAAAAAAGACAACAATAAAACATACCTATTGAATCTCCATCATCCCAAAAAAGATTTCCTATGGCAGTACCCGATTGTGATTGAGCAACAAGTAATATGAATGGATTGCCACGTCCAAGGACTAAACTAGCACCTGGCATTTGCATTGGAATAATAAAACCACCACGTACATGAACATTTATTTTTGAAAGTGGTGCATTAAAATCAGTAAATTGTCCGACTGTTTTAACTCTTACACCCGATTGATAGTCATACCAAACATCTGCTGGAATATAAGCATGGACAGTGTCTGTGTCCTAGGAAAGCATATATTAACGATATTTCCTTTTTAAGTTTGACTATTTACAGAAATTAAATTTGGAGAAACAAGAAGAGCACGGCCTACTAAGAATTGTTGATCAATATCATAAGTATTTCCATCATTTAGATATCTAAACTCAAAAATAAATTTTTTCATCTATAATTATTCAAAATATATCTACTCGAAGAAAAGTGGTTGTACAATAGTTTTTGATTTCATTGCTGCTTCGTAATGAAGTGTATACCAAAATGGAATAAGTGAATAGCGCATCATTAATGCTTGTTTCATTATTTGTTGAGCTTCCCATGAAAATGATGCTGGATCTTGATCCTAATGTTTGTTTCAGTTTTAAATAGTAATGAATAGGAAAAAGGCAATATATAAAAGAACGTTTTACTTTTTGTTCGAGATCATTATAATTTCTCATTAATGGATAAAAAGCTCCAAGTTGCATCCATCTTGTACATAATTCTTCAGTTGTATCACGTTGATATCCACAAATATCAGCACCAACATGTGTTATACCAAACATATTAAAACTAAGAATATCTAAATAAAGTATTATAAAAATTGAAATACAAAAAATACTAATTAGTTTATATTGAACAACATATATAACGTTGTACGGTTCTATTTTATTACAATATTCTTACACGAACCTGGAATGGAATAGTACATATCTTTAAATGCTGATCGATTATCACCAGTCCAATGTGCAGTGAATCGACCAGAACCAGCAAATGTTGAACGAGACAAAACAAATGGTCGTTTTTTACGAATACTTTTCAATGCTCTATTAAATATATGTATCAAAATTTTCATTCATATACTTTAAAAATATAAGAAAAGATTCTCACGCATTTGTTACTTGTGCTTCAAAATAACCATACATACTATGTAAATTATAATGTTGTGATAAGTAATGTTGAGCAGATGGACATAATGATTTTGAACTAAGACTATTACCGAGTACATCTATAGATATCAATTTCATATATTTCTTAAAAATTATATAGAAAAAAAAATTGCATACGAGGAACATATGGGGGATCATCTAAGATGTTAGTTGTACATCCATCAGTTGATCCATCTACAAGACTGGATGGTTCATTCATATTCTATAGAGAAAAATAATTAAAAAAACAAGTACATATGATAAACAATCTTTACAATACACATTCCATCAAATGGAATTTTCTCATGAAAAGCTGCAGCTACATTTGTCCACCATTCAACTGTATATGGATTTGTAAAATCAGGAAATACTGTTATACCTGGGGAAGCCTTTCAAAATTAATAGAACGATTATCAGCATCATTAAATTTTTCCTTTCAAGCTTACTTTTCCTGAGATTGGTTCCGAAGAATTAAATTTCATGACAAAAATACCTCGTTTCATTCCATCATCATAAGGAAAATAAGAACCAGCTGGTTGAGTTGAACTAATACCTGCATCAATAACAGTCATATAATGTTTTCCATTAGATTGTAATCCACTGATGAGTTCAGGTAAACCATGAAATTTTTGATTATCATAGGTAAAGTCAAGATCATATGACATTGCATCAATATCTGTCCATTGAACATCATATGGAAAATCTGCGTCATGCATTCTCTATATCAAGTAAGAATGAAAAAAAAGTTTTTTGCTGTTTCATCATTTTAAGAATTCTTACTTGAATAGTTGCTAATAAATTATCAGTACTATTATACCCATAACGACCAAGATGAAATCCAAGTGACCAATATGGTGGCATCATAGGTTTCTAAAACAATCAATTAGACATCATATTATAAATTCTTCTTATTCTTTTACTCCGATGATATCCCAATATTGTTCAATAACATTTTGTACAGTAGGTCCTGTGAAAATATACAAATCAATAATACCACCAATAGTTGTATAAGTTAGAGCAGGTAACGGTTGAAGATCAATATCCATTGCATTTGAATTAAGAAAAAATTGTCCATGAGCACTTGTTTGATTATTTGGTGCTTGTTCAAGATTAATATGAAATGGATGAACACCTATTAATTATGTATGTTTTATTTATTTCAAAATATTGATTTAACAAAAAAGAAGAATATTCACCATACAGATTGAAGTTTTCGAGTGGTGGAAAATTACGACTATAGAATGTTAATCTTTTCCAACTATCTGTTACATTGATTAATAATGATTGTCGATGTTCACCAAGACCATACAAAAATGGACTTGATAGACGAGTAGAAATTTTAATAAATTGATCAGCAAACATAAGTGGTGATACACTTGAATCGAATCTAAACAAAAAACAATACTTAATAACATGCATTATTATCGTCATAAAATTTTTATTATTTATTGAAAACCAGTTGAAGAAAATAAAAATTTGTTTGATGTTTCCTTAACGAAATGAATTGATTGATATTTCAATAAAATTGTCTGTAAGACTATTTCTTATATGAATACAGTGAGAGATAAATATCATTATGAAGACAAAAATTCATAAACAAAACTCAATTCATGTGTCCTTCTCAGATATGATTATAGTAATGCTATATACTACTGAATTTTCGAAGAAAAAAATTATTTTAACTTACAGTATTACACCAGTTGATTTACGTGTAACAAGTAATGAAAATGGTTTTGATTTTACTGCAACATCATAATCAGTCGTATCAGCTTTCTTTTCCACTACAGGTACTTGTAGTGGAACTTCATATCGTGCATAAATTGAATCATAAATTCGAATACGAAAACGTTGTTCAGTTTCATAGATAAGATCAACTGTTAAATCCAAAATGTCATGTGGCATATATGTTGTTTGTGTTTTAAGAATTCGAATTCGCTGACCAAAATCGGTTGGACTACTTGATGTTACTTCATAGGTTGGAAAATCTGATGGGTAATAACAAGATGGTACATGTAAATCACGAAAACCAATAGAATTCGATTGTTGACTAGGTGATTTCCAACAACATTTTCGTTCAAGACATTTATCTATTGTTGGATCGTTTTCAGGGTGACAATCAAATCGAGATACATTTGACGGTTGCTCACATTGTTGTGCATATGTATAAGATACAAACAATAAGATTGCAATACTTGTCACAAATAATGAACATGCCATCCGATTAAACCTACTAGATATCTACAAAAAATAATTGTTTTTCTTTTTAAAGTATTTTTTATGAAGAAATAAGAATGCATGCATATAAATGATAATATACAAGTAGAAAATCAAAAAAACTAATAATTGTTTATCATTAAAGCTAAAATCAATAAAGAACGAGATAAAATTGTCAAAAGATTCATTCTCTTTGTTATAACTGTTTGTAAGATATATTCATTAACTTCTCCATGTAGGAATGTACCATGAAAATATTATAAAGCGACTTGAAGACCAGTATATAAATGGTGTAATTCATGAAACAAGTTTGATCGAACTTAAAAGCTGGAGTGTAAGATTCAAGAAATTCACCAATAATATTTCATTAGGGAACGTTTTCAACGAATCCATTGCTTTCTTATCAGAAGTTTATGAAGTACTGGTTATCAATCATGTTGATTTCGAAGATCAGTCAAAAACATTCTTTCCTTAGCAAAATTCAGTTGTATTGCTTGAAGTATCAAAATTAAAGTATAGGTTTTCCCTTCTCTTTAATAAACATATCTATCATGTACTCTTTTTATTTGTCAAAATTTGTTATATCTATTTGAGAATCTTATTGGCTTTCTCATGGATTTTTATAGCTAGCAGAATTAAATTTTAAACTTGTTTTGCGTATTTATCAAATTTTCACAATAAACTTGGTTTGAATAAGAATAATATGCACAATAAGATGAAACCTGATTTAGAGTAAGTGTTTATCGCTAATTAAAATACATTTTCGATACTTATCTTTTGTTAATTCATAAATTTCCCTAATGAAATAAAAATAAGAAATCAAATATGCATTCATTGTTATCAACAATATCTTTTGTTTTTTGCTAATATTTTTATCCAACATTTCCGAGATTAAGTCCATAATATCATCGATAAAGATAGCTTATCATCATATGTAAACTCAACATGGTATGACATTATATCAATATCTATCCATTGAACATCATATAGAAAATCTTTTTTTGTTTCAAGATTTAAGAAATTTTACTTGAATAGTTACCAATAAATTGTTAATACTATTATACCCATAACGACTAAGATGAAATCTAAGTGAATGAGATTAACAATGGTTGTTCATGTTTATTAAGATCATATAGCAATGCGCTTGATAGTCGAATCGATCAGTAAAGATAATTCATAATAGGCTACAATCGAATCTAAATGAAAAAAAATAGTTAAATTTGATCATACAAAACCATATTATCTACAATACAATTGTTTAGGCTTTCTAATCAATTTGAGAAAATGGGAAAGGGTGTAAAATTTCTCCGACACTAATACATTAACAAACATTGTTGAAGGATAGAATTGAAGAAAATTCATTTGAAAACAAAACGCGTAGAGTGTATTCTACATAAAGAAATCGATTATCGAATGCTTTGAATTCTGTACGATAAACTTGCTTTATATTTGTGTACTAGAAGTGCTGATTGCATTTTAAAATAATTTCATCATCCAATCGCTCCAGTTTTCAAAATAATGCAATAATTAAATTCGAGTAGAACAATATTTCAGTGCCGAAAACACTTAGATCTCTACAGAATAACATATTTGATTTAGTAGATTAAAAATTATATTACTTTGTTCTTAGTAATAATATTATCAAAAGACTTTCTATATTAACAAAAACATTGCGATCGTTTCATGATATCTTGTATGTTCACTTTTAGCATCCTTTGTTACCGTCATATAGAAATACTCAGTTTCACTTAAACAAAAACACGACTATTTGAATTCGTCAAACTCATTGATTTAGTAATTTATCTATAATAATCAAAAGACAACCAGAATAACAGTTCGATTTTCCTTTCATTAATGAATGCAAAAGAACGTTTTCAAATATGCATAAGTAAAAACTTGACATAATTGAAATCAATATTATTAGCCTTCTGGGTCGCAGTAAATTTTTTTAATACACTATCGAAAGGAAGAATAACTCTGCCTTTCAGTTATCTTGAGATAGATTCAATAATTCTGTATCTGTCTTACAACTAATAGTACTTGTAGCTATGAACAGAAGGCGAGCCTAACGTAGAGTTCTTGCATTCCATGGCTTGAGCTCGCCATACACACTAATTAACCACAAGAGCAGGTGTATATCACAACGTATTCAACATGCTATCGAACGGGTAATTCATGACAAACAGTCATTAATAAATTGTCCAGGGTCATTCCATAGCTAGTGGTACTGAGGTTTGTCTTCAATACTTTGCGAATACATGCTGAACAATATAGCCATTCAGTCGTGATGGCTTTTATATATTGTAAAATGAAAAACGAACGTCGTGTTTTCATTTATATATTTTAGTATTATTTAAATAGATTAAAGTTAGTGATGCCAAATATCGAAACTTTTAAATTCAGATCCACAAGAAGCAATAACAATGTTTATATAAAAGATTTTCATTGATCAGTTACAGACTGCATTCGACTTCATAAATAACATTCGTATAGACTTACTCTTATTAATATTTTTTATTCGACCTCACTATGTGATATCTGTTGGTTTTTGAGTGACAAATATTGCAAATGCTTTTGATTTCACCAAAATCTCATAATCAGTCATATTAGCTTTCTTTTCCATTGTATGTATTTGTAGTGAGACTTTATATCGTTTATAAACTGAACCATAGAATCAAATATGAAATCATAGCTCAGTTTCATAGATAAGATCAACTGTTAAATCAAGAGTATCATGTGGTATATATGTTGTTTGCGATTTAAAACTTTGAAGTCATTAATCAAAAATTATTATTTCATAAGCTGGAAGGCCTAATGCATAATAACAATATGAAACATTCACATTATGAAAACCAGTCAAATTGAATTGTTAAATAGGTAATCATCAACAACAATTTTCGTGTCTGACATTTATTTATTGTTGGACTATCTTTTGAATAACAATCATTCGAAATTTGAACACATTGTTGTATTTCTATATAAATGACAAAATACAAACATTAAAATACTTATCAAAAATGATAAGTGTGCCATTCGATTGAATACACAACACTTATCTAGAATGACAAGTGAAATTTGTTTTTCTTTGAAAGTATTTAATAAAAACAAAGCAACCAAGAAAAACAAAACAACGTCAAACAGTGGTGAGATTATTGATATGGTTATATACAAAAAAAAAATAAAATAAAATAAAATAACCGGTAATTGTTTGTCATAAGAGCAAAGAAACAAAGCAAAATGGACAAAATTAAATGAAATTTAAAATATTTATTTATTCTCAATAAATATCTGTTTTAAAGAAAAATCATTCTGTTGTTGTTATTGTATTGGTTCTTGACATTTCGGAATGTGATTGTAATTCAGGAAAAAGTTGAAAAAGAATTTCATCAAGAAGCATATAAAATAACTAATAGATATATCATGTAAATAGAATATATTTAATATATAAATCTACTTACTTGTTTGTTCAGTAATGGATCTTGGAAATGTTCTAAAAGAATTTGTAAACCATGCTGTACATTAGATTCACCGAAAATAAGTTTGATCACATCTAAAAACACAGATTCAAATCATTTCGATACCTATCAAATCTTTGTTAGTTTTTATTATTCTATATTAAAATTTAATCATCAAAGCATAGAAATAGATTATCGATTTTCTCAACTGAATCCACTAGCAGTGATGAACGAAATCAATCGGTCTTGTCCCTCGTTCAGAAAAGTTCTTGGTACACGCGTCGTGTTTAATATTACATACACTAGTGGAAAATGAGCTCGGAATGTCTTGCACAACTCACATAACCTCTAATATTGTTATTTACAAAAAACAGATTAATTATATTATCAAAATTGTAATAACATATATTAAAATAGTTTTCGTATAAACTTATAGAACACATGAGTTGTGACAATATGATATTTGACGCAAGTTTTGTAGTGTCATAAAAGATATCACTCCCAATGAAACAGTTTTGGTCTCGAGATCGTCTTGCCCATGTTTATTCACGAGAAAGTTCATCTATTGTTCAATTGTTTTTAACTACGCCTTTGGAAGTTGTTAATAATCGAGCATGTTGATTCCGATTATCAACATGGTTTTTGTTGCTTTTCGTTTTTTGTCAAAATTTCTTTTTCATCCATCTAGTTCGTAAAATGTCTCGAGTTGAGTATAGAAAACGTTTGAATTATTATTATCTGTCACGCTTTTTTTCTTTCAACATTTACATTCTACATGTTTTATTATTAACTTTAATTCAGATTTTTCATTCGAATTTTGATCTATTTTAAGCCATGTCATTATAATTTGTCAATTTGTTCATCTAATAAAATCAATTTATTAGATAAACATGAATCTTGCCAATATCATAAACTTTCTAATGGATTTAATTAATGCCAAACTAAATTTAGATTCTACTTCATCTGTTACTGAAAAAGAATGTTGATATAGATGAAATCGAAACCCCCTCACCACTCATACCCTATTGAATCTACAAAAAAACTTTGAATAAGACAAAGCTGTTGTGAAGTTTTCTTCGTTACCGAACTTCAACAGATCAGAATTTGGAGTTCTTTGAGTCTAGCGGCACAAATCATGTTAATCGTTTACCAATAATCCTGTGAATTACGACTAAAATGCTATTGAATAATTCGCAACCTTTTCTCGTTAACTTAGTATCAATTATTTTCATAAAAAAATTCTTTTTTTCTATGTTGATAACTTTTTTTTGTAAAAAATTTGATATTTTCCACACTTATGAACTATAAATCTTAAAACAAAAAAAATCTTATCATATTCATACTTGGCATAAATTGTTCAGCTACTGCAACAACATCTTCAAAATTCACCAGATCAGTTGATCTAAATAGATATTATTATTTAAAAAATTCTAATCCTTTCAAAATTTTTAATTCTTAGCTTTACTCTTTATCTTCTGCATCGTTAGGAAAAATAGTATCTAAAATAGGATTCATAATAACAATCATCTTTTTCAATAGAAATTAAAATACCTTGAAGAGCCTGAATAACAAGAATAATGTTTTCTTCATCATTTAATATATCATCCATTCTATTTTCGATAAAATATGAAAAGAATGTATCAAATGTATTTTTCAATGGTACACGAAATAAATTCAATAAATGAATTAATAATGGTGATGCAGAAAAAATTTTTTTAGCTATAAACATAAAATAAAACTTGCTGAAAGATATATTCTAATAGGATTATTTACCTATAAAAATTAAATAATCATAAGTACTATCAAGTTCTTCTTGACAAGGATTCATAGGTTCTTCTATTATGGGTTCAAAAAATGGTTCAGCAATATTTGCATTATTTCCATAAATGGAATTTTGCAGCTAAACAAAAAAAATAATAAGTTATTCGATGAGAAAATGAAATATATTTATACTTTTTCTTCAATAATATCATTAAACACAGGACTTGGTTGTGTTGCTTTTGATTTAGCTGGTTCAGCATAATTTAATAATGATATAAGAAATGGTTCAAGAGATTGTCCTTTCTAAATTCGAATATAGAAATAACCTTTCAAATGAATAAATAAATAAATAATACCTCAATACGTAATCGACGTGGAACAACTTTGAACATTTTAGCTAGAATAATTTCACCATTAGGTAAAGTAAAATCATCTGGTTGTGTTAGAAAATTATATAATAATTCACTATTACGTAATGTTGGCTTGGATAATAAATGCTAAAATAAAACCGATTGTAAAAATATGACATAAAAAAAATTTTAAATTTTACTCGTAAAAAATGTTCAAACTCATGTTTAATTGATTCAAGAAATTCAAGACTTCGTGCTGTTGCTGCTGATCGTCGAGATGGTAAACGAGCATCATAAAAAATTCCATGAAATTCAGTTAATTTTTGTTCTAATAAATAAAAATCTTGATAACGTCTAAATAAAAATAAAAATAAATGATAGTCAATTTATTATAAATATAATTTTTCTTATTTACCTTGCAACTACTCTATGAGGTTTTTCTTCATCATTAATTAATGGATTATCTATAATGATATATTTTATTATATTGATTAAAAATAAATAAATAAATAAATAAATCTATACCATTATTTGCATCCAATCGTTGAACTTCAATCATCAATGCACAATATTTAGAATTAGAATTCAAACTTTCACGGAATTCTTCAGCATGACTAATATGAATACGCCATGTACTCATATCTCTTTCGTCTAATGACTAAATAGAATTAAATTATAATAGAAAACAAAACATAATAATAATATTAACCTACACTATTACTAGAAATACTTGCTGTATCTTCTGGGCATTTAAGATATAAATTATCTTTTTCTTCCATTTCTAAAATATCAAAAAAAAAAGAACTGTTGCATAAATTCAATTATACAAAATATTCATTGTTTATCAAATTTCAAAAATAAATTTGTGATAATTAGTTAATAATCAATAATGTATAAATAGATTCAATTAGAAATATGAAAAAAAAAGAATAGACAAATAATACATAACAATCTAGAGATTTTTTACAACGAAGAACATATTTTCTTTAATGTACGTCATTAAACAAAAGAGATTGCTAGGAATTTTATAATATACATATGTCTAAATCTCAGGAGGGATTTAAACGAAGAAAAAAATATTTAAATATTAGTAAACATTTATGTCATTCGAATAACTCATCAATAGCTGACATAGGATAATGCACACAAAGACTTCCATGTCATTCTATGTCTCTATTGTTTTGTTTTTTGCATTTATCTTCATTATCATTTTCGTATAGTATTATTGCAGTCAGATAACCAATCTATCTAAGAATTTATGAAATACGAAATAAAAGAAGTGTGAAAGTATAGGACAAGATTTTGTTACATTCTCAGATGATGATAGACATAGCCATAACAGTGATAACTACTTGGTTATTTGACAAATTATTCTTTTCAGCTATAGTATAAAGTAGATACGAATGGGACCAGTAATTTTTAATTACAGCTTCATAGGGTTGGTCGAGTTGGTCTCATACTCAGTCGGATCTGTGTTTGAAAATATTCGACTCACTGAGTTTGAAAATTTTGAACCCGACGGATGCGAGGCTCGGGTCAGAAAAGAATTGCTTGACTTGACCTCAGTCCTAGTGGAACCAGAACCATATCTATTTAGAACATATGAGTCGTGACGATATGACATTCGATGCAGGTTTTATACAACCATAACAGATATCATTTCTAATAACAAAAAATATTGGTTCTAGTTTTCCAGTCATAAACAAAACTGGTGTAAGATCAGCTTGCCGATATCTAATATAGAGCGCATTCAGTATCTACTGTAATTGGCTCATTAAACAGTTTCTTCAATGAACACTAACATCTATATGATATTACACAGTTTGATCTGACATGAATGATACTAAAAGCTTTCTTAACTAATTTTGATTTTCCGCATGTAATTTTTACAAGTATGAAAATGAAAATATTAATGAAAGGATATAGTTGGACGCAAAATTTTCTCGAATTTGAATATATAATTTTTACCTTGATATGAAGTTGTTGTATAACGATGTGATGCACTATATTGATTAGTATTTTCATGTGTATTTCTAAATATAAAAACAAAGAAATTATTTAAACTGAACTATTAATTTATTGTCAAACAAAAGACAAAAAGCTCGGTATATAAATAAATATATATGTAAAAATAAATATGGTAGAAAAATTGGGGTATAATATAGAATAACAGTCAAACCTGATCTCTTCAATATGTACAAAATCTGATGTAATTTCATCAAAACTAAGACTACTATCAATGAAAATAGACAAAAAAGAAAAATATCAGCACACACAAATAGAAATCTAGCATACTTTTGTTTCAAATTACGATAATCGGGTGAATCCATACGTCTACCACATATATAAAAAAAATGTTCATCACTTGTTAAAAAATTTCGTTGATATTTTTCTTCAATTAATTCATAAATTTTACAATGAAATCTTGATAATAATGTAAATGTTTGTTGAATATTAAATGATTTTTTAAAATCATGTGACTTTTTTTCATTCTCATCCTTAATACTTTCTTCTAAATCATGATAAATTAAATATTTTATTTCATCTATAAGTGTATCTTCATTATTATATGGATTACTAATAATAACAGATGTTTCAGAAGTTAATGGACTTAAATAACGTTCATCAAGACGTTTTAAACGTTGATAAATTTTTTTTCTTACTAATATATCTGTTGCTATTGGAATATCATTTAAAATATCTGTTAATGTTAAATAAATACTTAATAAACCAAGTGAACCATGACGATCAAGTACACGACTAAATTGATTCATTAATTCTTTTTCATACATAACATCAGTTAAGTCTAAAGCTAATTTATTTTTATGTATTGATCCATTCATTGCACAAAAATGTGATAGAATTTCAACATATGTATTTGATTCATTTGTTATTTGTATTTTAATATTATTTTTTTGTCGACGTTCAATAGCAGTTGTAAAATAAAGATGAAATAAACGATTTAATGTATCCGGTTGACAAATAGCATCAATACCATCAATTAATATTTGACATACAAATAATTCACATAAAAAATGACGTGAACCTTTACATTTATAAATAAATTTTGGTGCTATGATTGGCATTAAATTAAGCATAAGACTTTTTAAATATTTTAATTCTTCTCGTCGATTATACATTGCTATATGAAGATCATCTTTATACATTTTTCGAAGAAATTCAATTGAATCATTTGCTGAATGGATTTCTTTGGTATGAATATAACGATCACAGGTTTGGAATATTAATGGAATAAGTCGTTCAGTAATAAAAGCATTAATATCAACCTATAGACAACATATATTAACTTTGGAAAAGAAATTTTCAAAAAATATTGTTAAGCTTTTCTCGAAAGTTATGTTTTTCAATATATATAAAAAACAATGCTTGAAAACGTTTGTAAGAACTATGTACAGAGGTGTTTATAGGGCAAAGTAAAGTCTGCATACTATCGGGATGCAGGTCTTTCTAGATTCAAATTTTTTTCATTAGACTTATCATCTTAATGGAGTATTATTCATCATATTGACTGTTTACACTTTTAGTTTTATAACATTTCATATTGACAGTCTCATTTTATGAAGTCTACTGCTTCTAATATACCAATGACTTGGAATTTTATTTAAAAAGTTCCAGTACTCATTTCAACATCAAATAGATGATACATAATCAATAGAAAACTTGCAAAATATAATTCAACGAGATTTAAGTGAATATGAAGATGGCAAACAAAATTTTATTGATATATGAAAAAATTTTCCTGTAAAAAAAAAATATGAGAAAATGATTAATAGTATTCGATAAGGGTTGCAAAGAGTCGATGCATCACACAATTTTATTTTTGATATTTATAAAAAATGTCAATCTGATAAATTTATAAATCATTTAGATATTTTATTCTAAAATGTTCTTTTTATTTTTCTCGAAGAGATGTAAGATGAAAATATCCACTCATAATCAGTAAACTAACTGTAATATTGTACTCCATTTCTCCATTTCCAAGTATATATTAATTCAACTCGTGCAGATCATGAATTTTGTCACATTGACATTGACTATTAAAGTAATTTAGTTTAGAAACAAAACTTAGTCTACATGATCGAGAATAAGACCAATAGAAAATCTTAATCAGAATCGAGAATTGAAATTTTTAACACCAGAAGATAACTACATGTATTTAGAACACTTTTTTTTATTCCTACTGCATGACAATTATTTCAAAATGATCAATTAGTTTATACTAAGTTAACATCTGTAAATATTACATCTAATACTTTAGATAAAACGATAGACAACTATATATGAGCACTTCAGTATAAATAAAAAATGTAACTTAACGCAGCCTAGAATGCTTTCTTGTTTCCTGAGAACAGAAAGTTCCGGAAGGATAACTCTGATATTCCTAATTGGTATGCTATAAGCGAGCATATGGTTAGTTCTCTCATAGCTTCTATTATTTAATTTGGGAATTGTGCCTTTTTTTACCCAAAACAGAATTACAAATTTATATGCAAGTTGATTTGCATTAACATTCGCAAGAAAAGAAATATGTCATATTGAGCTCTATCTTGATTGAATTGAAGATCCCTAAAGATATCTCTGAATTCTCGAGGGTGAATTGCGCTTTGAGAACTGATTATCAAACTTTCTTTTGAGTTCCCATATCCAAGAGTCCAGAACATATAGTATTCTCGCATAAACAGATATAAAAAGTTTTATGAACACTTAGGTATATATTTAGAAAATGCTAGAAAATACAGTTTAGGATGCATTTTCATTCTTTACAAAGGAAATGTTCAAGAGTACGAACACTAATCCTACATTGTGTAAACGACGAATAACTGTTGCTAATAAATATCGAAAAACATGTTTGGTTTCATGAACAAGACTATCATCTTGAGTAATCGTTCTAAAAAGAAGCATATTTGTTTTAATTAAATCTTAATTGTATGATTATGAATACGTACGATAACCATGGGTATATATGATCTCGAAGACATAAACTACAAAACTGCAAAAAAAACAAAAAACAGTTTTTAATTATTTACTTACAGAAACAAAAATAATCATTTACTTTAGTAATGGCTGCATCAATTTCTTTAGAAATCATTAAATGAACCCAAGGATTCTTTTTTATATAAACACAATTTGCACTTTAAATAAAAACAGTTAGTATAAAGTAAAATTACATAATATTTACTTTTGTTTTCGTAGAAGTTCTTCTTTTAAATTCTAAAGAAGAATATATTTATGTTGTTTTAATTATGAAAAAAAAAAGTTTTATACTTTAGTTGCATCAAAAAACACAATTAAATTTGGCCAACATGTCAAAAATGTTTCAGAATTATTTAATTTCAATCTAATTTAAATATTTGAATAAAATCAAATTGAAACAATAAAAAAATCTCTACGTACACATAATAGTCAGTTAATTTATAACTGATTACTAATAGAAGAACGAAGAAGATAAGATGTATTTTTCTATATTAAAATTACAAAGATAAATTTTTTTTTTTGTTGAACTTTAAAATAACGTACCCAAATAAAAGAAAAACAAGCAGAAGAAAAGTAGTTAGTCCTATACCAAGAATAATTCGTTGGATATTATCCTTCGTCATTAGTTCCTCTTTATCCATCTAAAAAACGTATATCATAAATCAAGTTAATTTTATTTCTTTCAGATTTTTTTTAATAATTTTGAATCAAACTAACAAAAAGCAATTTATTTTTATAAACAAAAAAATGCAATCTATTTTTTTCTGTCCGGCTTAATAACATCTCGTACACGTTGATCAGCTTGAGCAATAGGTGCCTTTTCAACTTCTTTCCATTCTTTAGCTAATTCTTCTGCAGCCCATTTTGTATTTGACCATTTTTCGGCAAATTTTCCTGATAAAATATTATCATGTAGAACTTTTCGAAATTTTTCACGTATTTCTTTTCCATCATGACGATTCATTGTTGATAATTGACCATATTGACTTGTTCGTGAATGATATTTTAATTGTTTAACAAAACCTTCATCAGCAGCACGTTCAAATATTTCAGCTGGTTCTTTACTTAAATACATATCAAATAAAATAGCTTCATCAGTAAATCCAGCTTCATGTAAAACATTATAGCCTTCACGAAATATTGCCATAATCTCAGGCCAAATTGCTTGTTCAGCAAATAAATCAATACCAGCTTCTTCACGACATGACGAACCAACAGCACCATTACCTCGTGTTGCTCCAATAGCACAAGCAATGGAAAGACATGTAGCTAAAGCTGTACCACTAACATCTTTTTCAACAGATACAAAACATGGATATGGAATGTTTTGAACATAACGATCACGTACACCAGCACCAATCATTCGTGGTGCAACCATAACAACATCCATGTCATTAGGTATATCAAGTAAATTAAATGCAACATTATATCCACTTGCAACAACTAATGTAGTATTTGGTTTAATATTACCACGAATTTTTTCATTCCAAACTGTTTGTTGATCTTCATCAGGAATAAGTAACATAAGAATATCACCTTGACGAGCTGCTTCTTCAATACTTACTGGATTAAATCCATCTGTACTAGCTTGTTTAGCATAATCATCATCAATATTGCCAATAACGATATTATTCACACCACTATCACGTAAATTTAATGCCTGGGCACGACCTTGATTTCCATAACCAATGAATGCAACAGTTTTACTACGCACAATATTCACATCAGCATCATCGTCATGATAAATTTTGACCGGCATTCTACAAAATAAAACCTATTGAAACAAGAAAAAAGGAAAGAACATAATAATAGATGCTATATTTTAGCATACGCTTCACCTTTTCGATTCACAAAAAATACGAAATAACGCTCGAACTACTTACTTGCTTATCTCTATCAACTGAGATAGAAGAACAAAAAAAGAAGAACTGTTTTATATGTGTGCTTATTGTGGTGTAGACTGGAAAGAAAAAAAAAACAAGGTGAGATAAAAATATGCACAGGTACATAAAATATATGTTGCACCCTTGTTGACAAAAGAGAAAAAAGAGAAGATTAAATACGATATACAAGTCAAAAGTTCATTTTCAAGCTAGTATATTTGTTTTTTTAAAATTTTTTTCTTTATCATGACAATATGCATAATAGAACAAAACACTGTTTAATTAGAATGCGAGAGAATATAAGTTGAAAAAAAAAATATTGTTTTATATTTGGTTTATGTACATTTAATGTTTATGCATTTGATTGATTTTGTGTTGATGGTGGTTGTAAATTAATATGTATGTCTTGTTCTGATATTGGTTGATTAGGTGAAGTTGCTGCACGTTTTTCTATAAATTCATTAAATGCCTGTGTTGTACCACCTTGTTGATGAGAATTATTATCTATATCATTACCACTTGAAATATTTAACCATTGTTCAACTTCTTTTACATCACGTTCAGGATCCTAAAAGATTTTTTAAAAATATTTTCAATTGTTTTGAAAAATTCTTTTTCATACCTGATGATTTGAAACAGGTCGAGTTGATACTGAAGCCCTAAAAATATATATATATATATATAAAATAAATTATTTATGAAGAATAAAATAAATACGAATTTTTTATATGTGCAAAAGAGCAGCAAAAAAATTTTTTTTTCCATTGAAAGGATACAAAAAAAGAAACGTAGGTTAAACAACAAAGAGCAAAATATCAGCTTACGAATGAATACTCATATGTCTTCTTTAAGAAGAAAATATTGATAAGAATTATTTGAAAAATATTATTTCTATTACTTACGTTGATTGTTGTGAAGTATTTTTTGGTATTGCATCCGATAATGTTGGATTAATATCTAAAATATTTTTAAAAGAATTTTTTTTTTTTTTGTTGACAAAATAAAACTAAAATACGAACGCATTTGTTGTAAATTAGTTGGTAATGTTGATGATTCTTCATCAAATTTGATTAATGCTGGTTCATTATCTTGATGACGTGATGAAGATAATGTCTGAAACAAAAAAACAAATCAGTACGATAATACTGACTTTGAAAGAAAAGTGAGAATATCTACTTTTGTTGGTGGTGATTGAGATGTTGGAATTGCACTTCGAGTTGGTGATGCCGTTTGATCTAATATTGGCATTTGAGCTGGACCAACTCGTCTTTCACGTTCTTGCATATAACTTTCAAAAGTTTTTAATGAATTATTAAATTCATCATTATAACGTAAAAGATCGACTATTTAGAAAACAAAGAAAAAACAATAAGAAAATATTTATTTAAAAAAAAAAAAAGTATTTTCATATTATTTACCAGTTATATCATCAATAGCAACTTGTGAAAGTAAATCGATAATTCGTGCTTGCATTTGTATACATGTTCTATGTAATTCCTTAAAAACAAGAAATAAAATATTGTCTTAGATCATGTAAAGAATATTATCGAACGAGTACATCTAAATATACGATCTACAGATATTAATAAGAAAATGTATTCGAACATTCATCAATTGTTATTTGTACAGTCATAAAAAAATATTTAATTATTCTAGTTTTATAAACGATCAACCCAATGTTAAATGAAGACGTATCTTCACATGAAAGAATCTTAAACTGTGGGACAATAAATTAGATTGGCGATTCTTTTAGAACGAAAACTGACTGAAACTAGACATGAGCGATATATGACATTCAATGGAAGTTTTATGATCATAAAAGTTATTGTTCTCAATAAAAAAAAAAAGTATTGGTCTCAGTTCCAGTCATAAAAGTTTGGTACCATAACCATCTTGTCTAGATCAAAACAAAATCTATTTGGGTAGCGTAAGAGAACTAGACGGAAATTTCTTTGAAAATCAAGACAAACAATATCTGGATGTGGTTTTCAATGGCTGAGATTGTTTGATAATATTGTCAAAAATTTTTTCAATTTCATGACATGTGATAGAACTCGAAGAGTAGAGAAAAAGTTGTCATAAGCGCTCCAAAGTCCTGAATGCTTCCCCATTTCTCAACTACAATTCGTTCGGTAGGATTAACAATTTTTTATACCGGTATTAGGCACTGTTTTTCTTCTTCCATTCAAATACAAACACGAAAACCTTGAGAGCAACCTTTAAAATGTATGTTTTTCTAGCTGGAGTGTTTTTTTTTTGCAAATCCTGGCAAAGTCCAGCTATATATCATACTTTAAAATCAAAACAATCTAGATACCTTAAAGAACTTCTCTAGTGTAAATAGAAGGAAATTTTGGCTCGATCAAATGTATTGTGGCTAAGAGACGGAGACAATGCTTTACGAATTTTTGTCAAAAAATAACTCTTGAACTATGTGCAGTAGATAGAGCGTACTTCGAAGTATACAAAGAACAGAAAAAATTTACGTTTAACCATTTTTGGTGGTGTCTCTTTAATCTCTCTTACAATATGATTTGTGTTATTTTTGAGAAAATTACCTATCTTCATGAAAATATTCATATTGCAAATAATTAGGTGTATAATCACATATTCTTTAAGCAAGATAAGTTTCAGATAAAGTGAAAGACATGATAAAACAGTTTTAATATAAAAAAAACTAACAAATTATTTTATTCTTGATATATATATATAAACATATCACTAATGTTAAACTATCCACAAAACCAATCTCAAATACTTACTTGTCCAAAAAAAAGGTCACTTACTCGTATTTGCCTAATCCTGTCAATGAATAAATCATTAAAAGAAATAGTCATATGTAATTTTTATTATACTTTACAAACATACATAACTTTTATTAGTAGCCGAACAAGTAACTCGCCGGCGTGAGGTAAATGGCTATGAATTTTCTCTTTAGCCACACCCATGTAAGCAACTGTCTTAGGTCCGTTGTATTTTAGCAAAGAAAAATTAGTAAGCATTATGAACTATAAAGCTGAGTTTTGTATTTTTATTATCCTTAATGGTTATTACTCCTCAATTATCAATTCTATCTAGTGAATCCGATAGGTTAATTAAATCTTGAAAATTATAATAAAAAATTTTTACCAATAATAAATCTAGATCAAGTGGATGTTCTTCACCCGGTTGTAATGTAACCAACATTTCACCAAATACTTGTACATTGGTTTGCACTACATCTAATTCGCTACGTAACTTAGCTATTTGCTCTGGTGTCATTTGTCTTAAAACAGTATGTTCCTGAACAGCTTGTTGAGATGAAACATCCGACAACGATCGATCCTAGATAAAATTTATTCTACAAAAAAATATAAAAAAAAACAATTTAATTACTTGACGATGAGTCGTGCCAGGTGCTGGTTGAGACTATCAAACAAAAAAAAATCTAATCAATAAATAAATAGTTTTGTCTTACCATTGATCGTGAATATTGCATAGGACGTTCAACTGTTCCCTAAATTTTTATAAAACAAAAAAATTCATTTCTTAAAATATTTTTCTTCTAAAATTTACTGTAGCTGGTACTGCTGCTTTAATAGTATTTTCAGGTTCAGCTGGTGGAAATTCTAAACCTTGTTGTTTACATTCTTGATAAAATTGTTCAACAGTAATTAAATCCGGATCATCACGAAAAGCTAATGCCCAAGTCTAAATAAAATGATTATTTTAAATAAAAAAAAAAAAAAAAAAAAATCTTTAATTTCTTTTTTACTTGAATCATGCCAAGAATTTTTTCTTGTATAGCTATTGATGGATTATTTTTTGGAGTAAGAACTGCTTTCAAATCTTTTAAAAAATCTTTTTGTGCTATTTGTAAATGAAAAACTTTTCCACAATTTTTTGTTAAAGCTTCTAATAACTAGAAATAAACAAAAAGAAAAATTTTATTAAACATATCCTAATTAATTAATTAATTAATATACAGTAAGTGTTAATCCAATTGTACGCCATCCATTTGTTACAGGATTTGTTTGTAAACGTTTTCGAATAACTTTTATTGCTTCTTTTGCACTAATAAACAAAAAAACAATATTTGTATTTGAAATAAAAAAATATCAAATAGATTATACCTTTCTTCATGCATTGTAACATGATCACAAATTTTCATAATTAAAGCCCAATCTTCATTGGGTTGATTTCCATCTGTAGCTTTTTCAATAGCTTGTTGAAATGGTGTTTGTGTAACTCCACGGAAGAAACTTGCCATTGTTTTTTTTTGTCTAAAATTTTTCAACGAAATAAATTTGGTTGTTTTTATGATTTAGTTAATCGACGTTAAATAACAGATGGTAGAGGCCAAATGGATATTGTAAGTATGAAAAAAATGACAAGACTATAGAATGAATGAAAGGACTAAAAAAACAACAACAAATGACATCAAAAAAAAAGAGATGAATCATCACATTCCTCTATATCTCCAAATTGTATTGGTCGATTACTCTCCACCAACTAAAATTATCAGATAAGTTTTCATTTGATGTAAATATAATTCTATTTTCTAGAAAAATATTTTTTTTAATATATACGATTAGGAAGTTTTTTTAATCAGTACGGACTAAAAAAAAAAAAGAAGATAAATCTCAATAACGAATGATTGAATGTGTTTATGCAAGTGTTAATATAAATACGAATTATCACATGAGTATAATATGTGCCGGGTCATCAGGTTTGAGATGATAATGATTGACGAAGTCGATTGGAAGATTTCATTTGATAAAATTGACAAGATTTTAAGTGAAAGGGATTGAACTCTGTTTTGGAAAATTGATGAAGACAATAAAACGCTGGAATTTCTTTGATAGAAAAAAGAAACTTTTTCAAGATTGATGGGTTATTTATTACCCGCTCGGGGCACCTTTGCATATGAGAAATTTTTACTTGACTGTTTTTGTGTACAAAAATAGCATTGAGAAGAACAAATTTCATCTATTCTGCAAGAAAATGTTCTTGTGGCCTTTTCATATAGTATAGGTTGTTTTTTTATCGTATTCGTATAAGTAACATTTATTTAATGCAAATATTGAAGCTAACTTGAAATCATAGGCGAAGATAAAAGTTTGTAAATACATTATGATGCTAATTTCTATTCAACAGATGGATAGGATAAAGTATTATGAAAAAAAAATATAGAATAAAACTTTTAAATCGAGGCATAGACTTCAATCTAATTTAATCACTCACGATGAAACTTTTTATATTGTTTTCTTTTGATTTCAATTATTTTTTCGCCTATAGATACTACATAGTGATTTAATAAAAACTAAAAAAAAAAAAAGATTTGAGTTCAGATTCATCTCTCGAAGAAACTTTGTTCAAAACTTCTGAATATTTTTTTTATGAAGATTAATTTAGTTGGGTCGTCTATATGCGCAAAGTTTCAGATCAAAACTTAATTGTTTTGTCAAATATTAATAGGATTCCAAAGTCTTTTAGAATTTTTATGAGAATACTATCTATGTAATATCTCTAGGGAAAAGAAATCAATTAAATAGGAAGGAGGGCAATGAAGAGACCTTCTATTTAGCCAATAAGATAATATGATTTTGCATCCATTGGGAACTCACGAAGAGAAAACTAAAGGATATTCGAAAAGTTTCAACGTCTTTCAATAAATTGTTAATATCTATGACAAAATACGTGGTTAATTCATCAAAATATGCAATTCTACAGAAAAAGATTAGAGTTATTATCTGAAAGAAAAAAAACGATACTTCAAAATGTATAAATGTATTATCATATCATAGCCATTATACAAATCTTGAGTGAATATTTTCATCGTACATTTTTTCTTGGTAAAAGAAATCTTTTTATAATAGTTGTATGTTTCTTTGCTCGTAGAATTTTTTTATCAGACTTTTCATCTTAATGGAGTAATATTCATTACCTTGACTGTTTACAATTGTAATTTCATAACACTTCATATAGACAGTCTCATTTTATGAAGATTACCATTTTCAACTTATTCTCCAATATGTCAATTACTTTGAGTTTTTTTTTTAAAGCCTCAGTGTTCATTTCAAAGTCAAATAGATGATGCATAGACAATAGAAAATTTATGAAGTATCATTCGACAAGATTTAAATATGAAGATATCAAATAGAAAAATTTATTGATATATGAAAAAATTTTCCTGTAAAAAAAAACATATATGAAAAAATGATTGATAGTGTTCGGAAAAGGTTGAAAACAAGGTCAATGCATCACAAAATTTGATTGATGATATTTATACGAAATGTCAATCCGATAAACTTATAAGTTATTTAGATATGTTTCGATCAATTAACAATAAATATATATTTAGATTTGTCATAGGTATCGTTCATTTAGGTATTGAGCGGGGTCAAAACTTTGGACCATCCTTTAGTTTTGAAGACTATCATAAATTAATATACAGGTTGTTTCAATGAGTTTTTATCTTGTAGTTAAATAGTATTTTCATCAAATCGAATTTAAAAAAATTTCAACTTCGAACATATCATTGTTTACATTTAGTTTTGTCACAATCTTATATAATCAGTAACGTTAGATTTCTATTAGAAATAATTAAGAAAAACTAATTGCAAAAGAAACATGTTTTATATAGATGAATTCTTGATTGATGGATATTTAATAAATCGAGTAGTCAAAAGATCATCACTTATGTTCATTTGGAGTATGAATATGAAACGGTCTCCTAGGCGTTTCAGTGACCGTTATTTTTTTAAAAATTTTTCAACGATCATCTCTACTGTAAAATCGGGTTCGTTAGCATCTCCAAACTTTCTATAGAAGAAATCTGGATTTTTTGGTTCAATGTCACCTCATTGCATTTTTAAGGAGAGTCATACTCCCATGATAAGATGACATGCACCTATGTCTATTAGAATGTAGTCATTAAAGTAATTATTTTAATTGGATAATAAATGAAAGAAAGACATTTGCGGTACCAAAACTGAAAGTATCTCGATTTCTAACCCGTAACAGAAGACACACAACGATAGCAATAGCTCGAGTAGATTTGATTTCCTCGTTGGTTCTTTTTTTCGGATCTGACATTGTTTATACAATTAAAACAGTAAAATACAAGAAAAGTGAAACGTACTGTCGATCAAGAACGTAATAGTATTAAAAGATCTTGAGTACTATTATGTGCAAATTGTAATATACTAATGAAATTGATTTTCAAATTGTTGTTCATCAAATCTACAACACAACAGACAACATTTGAACGGTTTATAGAAAACTATAATTGAAAGAAAGATGGAAAGAAAATTAGCGTTATCAGAACTGTTCCATTATGCTAAAAATAAATATACCTGCTAATTAACTGTAAAGAGATGTGTTCAAATGAGAACAGACGGTTTTGTTTGGTTATTTTTGAGTGTACGTTTATAGAAAACGTATACAATAAGAAAAAAAAGAAATTATTAAATACCAATTAATGTGTTTTTTCCTCAAATCTTTGATAAAAATAAAATGTAAACCTATAATACTAAGCAAATGAACTAATAAAGCACTGTTAAAGGCTTGAATACATTTAGTCATGTGATATTCATTAAAAAACAGTGGAATAACAGTAAAAAATATTTAAGACTTCATATGGCACTTGTTTCATCCATGTTATTCGGGCTCACCCAATGATTACAAATTAAAAACAAATAGTTCTCTTTTTGTATATATATCGACGTGCTCTATAAATGAGATATATCAAAAGAATTTGTTCATGAAAAAAATATTTTCTGAAAAATTCAATTCTTGAAAGATCTCCTGGCCTATTTCATGTTCATATTCGAAATAAACCTAAGCGAATTATATTTTGTTCGCTAAGTTTCAGCTGAAAATTGATTTCCAAGTATGGAAAATCTTCTTGCAAGTGTTTTAAACATATTACATCAGTAGAATTTCATGTCATTCGGATTATTAATTTAATATTACAAGTGTATCAAAAAAAAAAACTGTTTGTGAACAATATATCATTAACTAATGATAACTATTCATAGCTTCCTTCCACTACCTATGACAAATGTATAGTATGAAATTGACTTAAAGATCACGCCAGATTTTTGTCCGACCTCATACAACCTCGAAAACACTCAAACAACATTAAATACACACATAAAAGATAAGAAAAAAAAAGAAAAAAAAGAACAGTATTAATTTAATATATTTATGTATGAATCAGACAATAAGCATGTTTTTCATCTGTTAAATATATCAAAAACGAAATTCAACTGTATTACTGTATTGTATATTAGCTGTTTTTTTAATATACAATCAAAAGGCATTTAATTTATGAGTCATTTAAATATGATACAAACATTATTATCTGAAGTTTTGAATTTTTTTACATTATCTATTACAACATTAACAACTAGCAATATTATTTTACTCATACTTGTTTTATTATTAACTATAATATGTTACACATCTTATAGGAAACCATTCAATGCTCCACCCCGTTTTCCTATATTATTATCAATTTTACGTCGTAAATATGATTTTATAAATAAAGGTCCACTTGAACTTATTCAAGATGGTTACAAATCTTTAGGTGATATATTTCGAATACAATTATTTCATCAATCTGTAGTATTTTTAATTGGTCCACAAGCACATAAAATTTTTTTTGAATCAAAAGATACACAATTATCACAACGTGAAGTGTATACATTTACAATACCTGTATTTGGTAAGAATATTGTTTATGATGCATCACCAAAAATTATGCAACAACAATTAAAATTTATGAATAAAGGTTTAAATCTAATGAATATGAAAGCTCATGTTGGTAAAATAGTTATGGAAGCTGAAGAATGGTTTGATAAATGGCCTCAAACAGGACAAATTGATTTAATAAAAGAATTTTCTGAATTAATTATTTTAACAGCTTCTCGATGTTTATTAGGTAAAGAAATTCGAGAAAATGTTCATCAAGAATTTGCACATTTATATCAACAATTATCTGATGGTATGAGTCATTTATCATTTTTCTTTCCAAATGCTCCAACAAATGCACATAAAAAACGTAATTTAGCTCGAATTAAAATATCAAAAATCTTTGAAAATATTATTAAACAACGACGAATAAATCAAAATATTGAATATGATGATTTTTTACAAGTATTAATTGATGCACGATATTTAGATGATTCATTACCAACTGATAATGAAATAACTGGATTATTATTAGCAGCTTTATTTGCTGGACAACATACATCTAATATTACA